AGACTAGACTATAGACTAGAACTATAGACTAGACTATAGACTAGACTATAGACTAGACTATAGACTAGAACTATAGACTAGACTATAGACTACTATAGACTAGACTATAGACTAGACTATAGACTAGACTATAGACTAGACTATAGACTAGACTATAGACTAGACTATAGACTAGACTATAGACTAGACTATAGACTAGACTATAGACTAGACTATAGACTAGACTATAGACTAGACTATAGACTAGACTATAGACTAGACTATAGACTAGACTATAGACTAGACTATAGACTAGACTATAGACTAGACTATAGACTAGACTATAGACTAGACTATAGACTAGACTATAGACTAGACTATAGACTAGACTATAGACTAGACTATAGACTAGACTATAGACTAGACTATAGACTAGACTATAGACTTGACTATAGACTAGACTATAGACTTGACTATAGACTAGACTAGACTATAAACTAACTTAAAATTGTCTTTTAAGCTCTTTGACTATACAACAAGTATTTTCATATTTTACTTCCTTTATCCTCTCTTATGTATGTATGAAAATGACTTCAACTTTTTTCTACTTTTGTTTAAAAACAAAAGACAAGAGCAAAATTTTTGTACAAATATTTAAACCTCAATTTACATGACCCCATGTATGTTTTATTAGATTGCTCCATGTTGATGTAGTTATTTTGCATTTAACTATATACTAGTTGTATATACTCTCATAAGCAAATGAATGTTTGTACATATTTATGTATATTCGTTTATATGTAACAAGCATTTATGTCTTTAATATGCAGAAAAAATGGAACAAAAATAACGTCCTTGTTTACAGAGATGAGACAATGGCAGAAGACTGTTGTTATGTTTGCCAAACAGCAAGCATGCAGGCACCCAGACTTTCAGCCTAGGCAGTGCTAGCTGTTATTACTAGATGAATATGGTGGCAGATATTTAAAGGAATCTAATTTATTTTGTGAAAAAAGTAAAAAAATAGACTATAGACTAGACTAGACTATAAACTAGACTAGACTATAAACTAGACCATAGACTAGACTATAGACTAGACTAAAAACTAGACTATAGAGTAGACTATAAACTAGACCATAGACTAGACTATAGACTAGACTAAAAACTAGACTATAGAGTAGACTATAAACTAGACTACATGTAGGCTAGACTATCGACTAGGCTATAGACTAGACTATAGACTAGACTTTAAACTAGACCATAGACTAGACTATAGAGTAGACTATAAACTAGGCTACATGTAGGCTAGACTATAGACTAGGTTATAGACTAGACTATAGACTAGACTTTAAACTAGACCATAGACTAGACTGTGGACTAGACTATAGACTAGACTATAGACTAGACTATAGACTAGACTATAGGCTAGACTATAGACTAGACTATAGACTAGACTATAGACTAGACTATAGACTAGACTATAGACTAGACTATAGACTAGACTATAGACTAGACTATAGACTAGACTAGACTATAGAATAGACTATAGACTAGACTATAGACTAGACTATATACTAGACTATATACTAGACTATAGACTAGACTATAGACTAGACTATAGACTAGACTATAGACTAGACTAGACTATAGACTAGACTAGACTAGACTAGACTATAGACTAGACTAGACTATAGACTAGACTAGACTAGACTAGACTAGACTAGACTATAGACTAGACTATAAACTAGACTATAGACTAGACTATAGACTAGACTATAGACTAGACTATAGACTAGACTATAGACTAGACTATAGACTAGACTATAGACTAGATAGACTATAGACTAGACTATAGACTAGACTATAGACTAGACTATAGACTAGACTATAGACTAGACTAGACTAGACTATAGACTAGACTATAGACTAGACTATAGACTAGACTATAGACTAGACTATAGACTAGACTATAGACTAGACTATAGACTAGACTATAGACTAGACTATAGACTAGACTATAGACTAGACTATAGACTAGACTATAGACTAGACTATAGACTAGACTATAGACTAGACATAGACTAGACTATAGACTAGACTATAGACTAGACTATAGACTAGACTATAGACTAGACTATAGACTAGACTATAGACTAGACTATAGACTAGACTATAGACTAGACTATAGACTAGACTATAGACTAGACTATAGACTATAGACTAGACTATAGACGAGACTATAGACTAGACTATAGACTAGACTATAGACTAGACTATAGACTAGACTAGACTAGACTAAGAACTAACTATAGACTAGAACTATAGACTAGACTATAGACTAGACTATAGACTAGACTATAGACTAGACTATAGACTAGACTATAGACTAGACTATAGATAGGACTATAGACTAGACTATAGACTAGACTATAGACTAGACTATAGACTAGACTATAGACTAGACTATAGACTAGACTATCAGACTAGACTATGAGCTAGACTATAGACTAGACTATAGACTAGACTATAGACTAGACTATAGACTAGACTATAGACTAGACTATAGACTAGACTATAGACTAGACTATAGACTAGACTATAGACTAGACTATAGACTAGACTATAGACTGACTAGAACTATATATAGACTAGACTATGACTAGACTATAGACTAGACTATAGACTAGACTATAGACTAGACTATAGACTAGACTATAGACTAGACTATAGACTAGACTATAGACTAGACTATAGACTAGACTATAGACTAGACTATAGACTAGACTATAGACTAGACTATAGACTAGACTATAGACTAGACTATAGACTAGACTATAGACTAGACTATAGACTAGACTATAGACTAGACTATAGACTAGACTATAGACTAGACTATAGACTAGACTAGACTAGACTATAGACTAGACTATAGACTAGACTATAGACTAGACTATAGACTAGACTATAGACTAGACTATAGACTAGACTATAGACTAGACTATAGACTAGACTATAGACTAGACTATAGACTAGACTATAGAATAGACTATAGACTAGACTATAGATAGACTATAGACTATACTATAGACTAGACTATAGACTAGACTGTGACTACTATAGACTAGACTATAGACTAGACTATAGACTAGACTATAGACTAGACTATAGACTAGACTATAGACTAGACTATAGACTAGACTATAGACTAGACTATAGACTAGACTATAGACTAGACTATAGACTAGACTATAGATCTAGACTATAGACTAGACTATAGACTAGACTATAGACTAGACTATAGACTAGACTATAGAACTAGACTATAGGACTAGACATAGACTAGACTATAGACTAGACTATAGACTAGACTATAGTAGACTAAGACTAGACTATAGACTAGACTATAGACTAGACTATAGACTAGACTATAGACTAGACTATAGACTAGGACTATAGACTAGACTATAGACTAGACTATAGACTAACTATAGACTAGACTATGACTAGACTATAGACTAGGACTATAGGACTAGACTATGGACTAGACTATATAATAGACATAGACTAGACTATGGGACTATACTATACAATAGACTATAGACTAGGACTCTTAAACTAAACTATAGACTAGACTATAGACTATACTCTACTATAGAATAGACTATAGACTAACTATAGTTTTAGTTGGGGAGAGTATACTAGTCCATAAATTTGTCTACTCCATAGACTAATCAATATATAAGAAAGCCGAGATGTAAAATATGTAGTACTTTTAATCTGTAAAAAGGATTAATTTTGATAAAATTTAATACTATTTCGAATATCTTTTCTCATATCTACAACATCGATAAAAAACAGGTGTTTGTCTCGAATAACTGAACTTTTGTTAAACAAAGTTTAGTGTTAAACCTTTTCTACTGGATTAAATAACTACAGAAATAATGAATTTTTTTCATTAATACCATGAATATGTTTTAAAAAATTTTTTATTTATAAAATGAATTCATGTAATGAACATATTAATAATATGTATGAATATTTTTAAACAAAATATAAATATGTATTTATACGTTCTAACGTGAATTGAAAACCAATTACAATATTGGATATATTCCAAATAACAAATGAAACTGCTACTAGTACGTATTGCTACTTTAAAGAACTGACAGACAGTCAGAATGGATGCTGTCAGGAGTTTAAAATGGGTGTGAATGTAATGAAACTAAATATTATAAATAAGTGTGTGTATCTGGTTGTTTTATTTTTTTCGAACTACTTGTACCGAACCGAACCAAATATATGTGAATAAAAACGACTACTATGTGAGTAGTAGTGTTTTATAGATAAGTTTGTATTTTGTTGTCACCTCCCCTAACCCTCCTCGACTTTTAATGGTTGCCATTCGTTTGTTTTTGGCTTTTTTTTTTTTTTGTTTTGGGTGGGTGGGAGTATGAGGAAGTGTATCGTGTTTTTTTTTTTTGGCTCTTTTAAAAGAATTTTTTTGTTGTACCCATGATGCTTATATTCGTATTTCTGTTTCTTTTGCTATTTTTTTGTATTTGTTGGATTCTGGTTTCTTTGTCAAAGAAAACTCGTTTAATATGTTTAATCTAGTTTTTAGACAAAATGTTGTATAGAAAAATAGACAAAATTTTCTTTGGGTGTGTTACAGGCAAAGATTTTTTTATCATTGTTTTAAGAAAAAGTATTTATATTTAAATATTAAAGTAATATTAAGAAATTTATTAAGATTTTAACAAAGAACTTTAACAAACTCCAAATTTTTTAAATTTTGCAAAAAAAAAAAAAAAAAATAAATTTTTAATTACAACTTTATTTATTAATATTTTATCACTTTAATTATATTTTTATCACTTAAAAATTTTTATATTTAATTTTTTCTTAAAAAAATTCTCTATCTTGTTTCTATTGCTTTTTTTTAATTTGTTACATATTTTTTAATACATTTTTTTTTCTATATATACTTAGTTAAAAATTTCACTTTAACCAAAAATTATTACCGTTCGTTTTTTATAACATGCGCTGCTTTTAAATACCGTTAGTTAACTAAATCAGAAGTGTCCTTTTTTTTACATCTTCAACACAAATCCTTGCTGTATCAGAAGTTTAAGGGCTTTTTTTTATAAAATCTCACTCAAACACTTTGCAATTTTTTAAGCTTTTTTAACAAAACTTTAGATTTTCTTAAAAACTTACAAGTTTTATTTTCTACATGCGCCTACTAATGTTAAAAATCATGCCGAATTATCACAACTCTCTGTATCGCTCTATTAGAAAAGCTTTAATATGTGAGAATTTTTTATCTCTACTCTCTGCTTACAGAGAGTTTGTTTATTATGTAGTAAACTCTCTGTTTACATTTTTTTGCCTTGTTTTTGTTTACATTTTTTTTTACAAAAAGCCACCAAACCAGCTGTTTATTTTTATCATTGTTTATCAGCAGCAGCTGTTGAACTAACGACTTTTGTTGTTGTCATCTTTTGTTTGGTATGGGATATTTTTTTCTCCTTTTAATGATGATGCTCTTTTTGTTGGTTTCTCTTTTTTGTTTATATTTATTTATGTTTTATTAGATAAACGACATGTTGTTTTTGTTTCGCTTTTTGTTTGTTATTTTTGCTGTTTTAAGTGTGTTGACATGTTTTCATACACTTATTTGTAGAATGTTGTCTTTTTCAAACTTAGAGGACTGTTATATTTTTAAGTTTTTGTATTTGTGTATTTTTTTGCAAAAATGTTTTATTTTAAGCCGGTTGTTGATTTGATTTTTAAAATGCACTCACTCGCTGTATTTAATATTTGTTGGGAAAATATTGAAAATCAATTAATTAAGTGTTTAAAAATAGTTGGGAATTACAATTATGTCTAATTGTCTTAAACAAATTTGAAAATTTTGCAAATTTTAAGATTTGTTTAAGACAATTAAACATATTTAACTATAATGGATAGACAGATATATAGAAAGATAGATAGATAGATAGATAGATAGATAGATAGATAGATAGATTGATAGATAGATAGATAGATAGATAGATAGATAGATAGATAGATAGATAGATAGATAGATAGATAGATAGATAGATAGATAGATAGATAGATAGATAGATAGATAGATAGATAGATAGATAGATAGATAGATAGATAGATAGATAGATAGATAGATAGAGATAGATAGATAGATAGATAGATAGATAGATAGATAGATAGATAGATAGATAGATAGATAGATAGATAGATAGATAGATAGATAGATAGATAGATAGATAGATAGATAGATAGATAGATAGATAGATAGATAGATAGATAGATAGATAGATAGATAGATAGATAGATAGATAGATAGATAGAGATAGATAGATAGATAGATAGATAGATAGATAGATAGATAGATAGATAGATAGATAGATAGATAGATAGATAGATAGATAGATAGATAGATAGATAGATAGATAGATAGATAGATAGATAGATAGATAGATAGATAGATAGATAGATAGATAGATAGATAGATAGATAGATAGATAGATAGATAGAGATAGATAGATAGATAGAGAGATAGATAGATAGATAGATAGATAGATAGATAGATAGATAGATAGATAGATAGATAGATAGATAGATAGATAGATAGATAGATAGATAGATAGATAGATAGATAGATAGATAGAAGTAGATAGATAGATAGATAGATAGATAGATAGATAGATAGATAGATAGATAGATAGATAGATAGATAGATAGATAGATAGATAGATAGATAGATAGATAGATAGATAGATAGATAGTAGATAGATAGATAGATAGATAGATAGATAGATAGATAGATAGATAGATAGATAGATAGATAGATAGATAGATAGATAGATAGATAGATAGATAGATAGAGTAGATAGATAGATAGATAGATAGATAGATAGATAGATAGATAGATAGATATAGATAGATAGATAGATGATGATAGTAGATAGATAGATAGATAGAATAGATAGTGAAGATAGATAGATAGATAGATAGATAGATAGATAGATAGATAGATAGATAGATAGATAGATAGATAGATAGGATAGATAGATAGATAGATAGATAGATAGATAGATAGATAGATAAATAGATAGATAGATAGATAGATAGATAGATAGATAGATAGATAGATAGATAGATAATAGATAGATAGATGATAGATAGATAGATAGATAGATAGATAGATAGATAGATAGATACTATGAGCTGCTAAAATTTTCCCAACCATCACAGGTAATGTCCACCGAATGCAACTATTCTTTTGAGCGAGTATGGACGAAAAAACGCGCGGTATACAGAGTATGTTAATGTGTTTGCATTAAAAACACTTCATAAAGGTTTGGTTGAACATTTTGCCTTATGAAATAGACTTTGTCCCATACGACAACTATTTGTTTCGATAGTTGCAGAACACTCTCTCTGATGAGACGCTACACTTCAGAACACAATTTCCGAAATTGTCTTTATTCGTTCCTGGCCTCAAAAGCTGCTTTCGTAGGTTCGATAGGTCGATTACGTAATAGTTTTAGATCACTTTATACACTTATACACATTTATAGGTCTACGATCAATATGTCAAGGGACTACAAAAGTCCCATCTTTTTTGATAGTGGTTATACAAATTGTAACTCAAATCGGTTACAAATAATAAAAAACTTACGTTCACATGTGCTTTTCTAAATACAATGTGTTCCTATTCAACCAACAAAAAGGAGACAATCAAGACCCTTCAACAATTGTTGTCTCCACACGTGGAGAAGTTTAAAGACTAAATACAAATACGAGTAAACAACCCTCTTTTAGGCAAACTTTCATAATGCTAAATTATGAATGAATATTTTATTACTCTTTTTTCACTTACGCGCAAATGAAGTTGAGAGTGAAAGTATCTAATGTTAAGGACAAAGAGGTGTGAAGAGAGGGAGACGTAGAAATTACTTTAACTTTTAACAGGGAGTTAACTTAAAACACCACCACCGCCATAACAAAACAAGGAATTTGGAACATTTGCAAAAATTCTATAAAAAAAAACACAGAAAAAAGAGCTTTTTTAAGTTGCAAGTTATAAAGTTTTGCATACAACAACAGAATAAACTTTTTTGTCAGTTTCACTTTTCATTTAATAAACTTTTCCAGTCAAAGTTAAGGAAAACGAAAACTTTTGGTTCATACAACCAACCAAAAAAATCATTTGTTACTAATAATTGAACGGTTAAGGTGAAAATCAAATAGATAAAATATTACGGTTTCTCGGTTGCTTAAAAAGTAAAAAAAATAAATTTTATCTATAAGAAAGTGTTTGTGCTGGTATTAACTTATTTCAAAGTGGTGTCTAAAGAAAAAAAAAATAATAATAAATTAATTGTTTAAATTTTAAATAAACAAAAAAGAAAGAAATACATAAAAAGAAAATATTCGAAAAATTATTGCTAAATACTTTTGTTATAAGAAATAATTTAGTGGTTTTTCTTGTGGCTTAATTTAAAGGTGAGCAAAATTCTTCAAAAACAAAATTATTATAAATAAACAAGCAAAACCTATTTATTTATTTGTTAAAAAAAAAAACTTTATTTGAAGTGTAATAAAAAATTCATGATCTCTCAATGTGCAAAAAACACCTGGAAAATAATGTATTATAAGGTCTCAATGATTAAATTCTTTAAATTGGAAAAATTTAGCTTTTTTTCAATTTCTTCTTCTATGAAATTGCAAAAAGTCATGTGAACATACACATTCAATCTTCAATATTTATTACTAAACCACTTATACAGTTCTTTTGGCTCCCACCGTATGCCTGTCTGTCTGTCTGGAGGCTGCTTAGGGGGACAAGTAAAAGTAACACAAATTGTATCTATTGATTGTTTATTAATTTTTACTTTTTTCTTCTGCTTTTCTTTACACCACAAACTGTCGGAATTCTGTCTATTCATCTGGAAGAATTATAACAACAACAAAAAAACATAAAATTGTGTTATTTTTGCTCTCATTTGTAAATCTTATTTATTATTTCATTTATAAAAATTTTTTTATTTCCAATTAATTTGGTATTAAATTTATTTGTTTATTTAGTTTTTGTCTTTTTTTCTCTACTTCTTCCCCAAAATTCTTCTTATTTCCACATATTTTGCAAAATTACAAAAAAAAAAAAAACAGTTCCAAATGTGAGCCTCTTTTCTTTTATTGATAGAATTGTTAGAAATAATAAAAATACATTTTTTAAATATAGCATTTTTCCAAGTGCTGTCTTTTTGTGTTAAAAATTGAATCATTTTAATTTGAAAGGGGGAAGGATACCTTATAGTAATGCACCATTTTCATATACATATTTATTCCATCCACAATACAATAACATATTATATTGATATTTAATTTACGTAGCAGGTTGACAATGAACATAGGCCGTTGTAATGAAATAGATCAGGGTCCTTGGTGGAAATCGAACGCACAACTTCCCAGACCGATAGACTAACCACTAGCCTGGCAGAGAAACCGATGTTCTTTGGGGTCCAAAATCTTTAAAGTGTCCAGATCTATCTATCTATCTATCTATCTATCTATCTATCTATCTATCTATCTATCTATCTATCTATCTATCTATCTATCTATCTATCTATCTATCTATCTATCTATCTATCTATCTATCTATCTATCTATCTATCTATCTATCTATCTATCTATCTATCTATCTATCTATCTATCTATCTATCTATCTATCTATCTATCTATCTATCTATCTATCTATCTATCTATCTATCTATCTATCTATCTATCTATCTATCTATCTATCTATCTATCTATCTATCTATCTATCTATCTATCTATCTATCTATCTATCTATCTATCTATCTATCTATCTATCTATCTATCTAGTCTATCTATCTATCTATCTATCTATCTATCTATCTATCTATCTATCTATCTATCTATCTATCTATCTATCTATCTATCTATCTATCTATCTATCTATCTATCTATCTATCTATCTATCTATCTATCTATCTATCTATCTATCTATC